CTGCCTCTGCCTCTGCCTCTGCCTCTGCCTCTGCCTCTGCCTCTGCCTCTGCCTCTGCCTCTGCCTCTGCCTCCCCAAGTGCTGGGATTAAAGGCCTGTGCCACCCAGCTTCACCCCTCTGTCTTAGAGAAAAGAGCAGCTTCCCAGGGGCTCTTGTCTGCCACATGTTCTGCTTCGTTTGACCTTTGACTGCCCTCTGAATGACTGTCATTATACTCATTGAGTGAAGAAGGCTCAGAGATTAGATAACCTTGCCAGAGCCACACAGCAGGAGAAGCAGAGCGGGCCCAGTTGCCTCCTGATCCTTAGCTGACTTCAGGGGATGAATGTGTAAGTCTAGAAAGAGCTTCCATCAGAAGAAGGACCCAGCTGTGTCCCTCCACCCAACAGGCCCCAAACCAAGAAAGAGAGAGAGGAGAGAGAGGATCAAAGTCTGTAGGACTCTCAGGTCCCCTGAAGTAAATAGGTTCAGGCCTTTGGGAAATGTCCTCTTCACAGACGTGTTCTCATTTTTCAGAGTTGAATACAGGATTTGAGCTCCAAAATACCATTTTCATATGTTTAAAAAAAATTTTTTTTTCTGACACAGGGCTTCTCTGTGTAGCCTTGGAACTCACTCTGTAGACCAGGCTGGCTTCACAAAGATCCTCCTGGCTCTGCCTCCAGAGTGCTGGGGTTAAATGCGTGTGCCACCGCTGCCACCGCCCGGCTCTGACTCTCTTAGAGGCTGTACCCAGCAGACCAGATGGAACAAATTCCTCAGCTGGAAGGTATCTGCAAGGCTTGTGCTGCACGGAGCTGTGGTAGGGCTGGAGGCGAGGACATGTGCAGTACATTTGGCTTCCCAAGTCTGGCACACAGTAGGCGCTACTGTGCTGTGGTTCCTGCCTACCAGGCTGGCACTGGCTGAATAGTTCAAAAGCCTGTCACAGTATCAGTAGATGATGACTGCAGACTGATACTCCTCCAGCCTGCCGGAGGCGGCACTCGGGCCTTCTCTCTGGATGCGTGGCAATACAACTCCCACCCCACCCCCCAAATGCAAAGGGAGGGAGGCATGTGACCACCTGCTGGCTCAGCATCCAGAGGATCTTGGGGTCTCAGTACCCCCCCCCCCCGTCACCTGCCCCTGACCTACTAAAATCTCACAAGCTAGAGTTTCACTGCCCTGCCCTTGTCTCTGAAGAATTCTAGAATCTTCCGGCCACTCCCTCTCCTTCCCTGTGCCCTCGGCCCAGCCAAGAGGAAGAGTCCCCACTACTAAATTATCTCAGTTTGTTTCCTGGCAGGCGATGGACACCTATTTTGTTTTGTTTTGTTTTGTTGTTTGTTGGCTTTGGGGACAGGGTCTCTTGTAGCCCAGACTCACATGAAACATTTATCTCTTTATTTGTATGTTTTGAGACAAGGTCCCTTCACTTAGTCCTGGCTATCCTGGAACTCACTTTGTAGACCAGGCTGGCCTCAAACTCTGCCTCCTGCCTCCGTCTCCTGAGAGAGCCTGGCGTACCTGGAATTCTGTGTAGTTAATACTGGCCTTGAATTTCTGATCCTCCTCCTATAACCTCCCAGGTGCTAAGATAGCAGACATCAGCCACCACACCAGCAAAACAATGGTCATAGCAACAGTATTCACCAGGGGGCAGAAGGTTGAACCGCTCTGGTATCTGTTAACAAAAGAAGACAAAAACAAATCTTACCCACACAGTAGAACATTATTCAACCATGAAAAGGTGCTGAGTGCTGGCACCTGCTACCACATGGAGGCACCTTAAAAACACAGCCAGTGAAAGCAGGAAGTTGTAAAAGGATACCCAATGTACCATTCTGCTATGAAATATTTACAATAGGTGATTCATGGAACAAGGAAGTAGATTAGACATTCCCAGGGTCTTGCGGGGAAGTGAGAGTGGGGAGTCGCTGCTCAGTGGCTTCAGTTTCTGCTTGGAGATCATGGGGACAGCAGCCCACACTGTAGCTGTTAACAGTTCCCCTGAACTGTACATTTCAAATGGTTAGAACGGGGGGCTCGTGCCTGATGCCAGCACCCTGGAGGCTGAGAGAGGCAGACAGCTGTCATGGTTAATCCTGGTTGTCAGCTTGACTGAATCTGGCGTCAGCTATGAAGTAAGCCCCTGGGTACACCTGTGTGGCACCTTCTTGACCCTGTTATTGAGAGCAGGAAGACCTGCCGTAAACATGGCTGCCCCTTTCAGTGCCGGGCCTGAAGAAAAGGAGGTCGGAGGGAACAGCTCTACTCTTTGCCTCACTGCCTTGGTGGCTCGGCGGGGAGTCATCTGCTCTGTTGCTGCGACCACTGCTGCGTTTCTTGGCTGACATCACCTTCTTCAGGCTTCCAAAGTGGGCTGGAGACCAGCAGCTCCCCGGGAATCCTCCAGCCCTCCCACACCAGATCAGGACTGCTGCGGCGCCCATCGTCATGGAGCAAAGGCTTCTTAGGCTCATCAGCTTGTAGACGGCCATTGCTGGACAATATAACCTGTGTCCACCCCCTGGAAAGTCTCCTCTAACCTGTCATGTAAGCCAATCCAATAAACCCCATTTAAATATATATTCACCCCATTAGTTCTTTTTTTTTTTAGGGGGAATGGGTGTTTTGGAGACAAGGCTTCACTCACTGTGTAGCCCTGGCTGTCCTAGAACTGTCTGTAGAGCAGACTGGCCTCGAACTCACAAAGATCTGCCTGCCTCTGCCTCCTGAGGGCTGGGATTAAGGATGTGCACCTCCACTGCCTGTCTTCATTCTGTTGGTTCTGTTCCTCTAGAGGCCTGAGTAATACAAGCGCCATGAGTGTGAGGCCAGTCTGGGTTACAAAGTCAATTGGTAGTCAGTTTGTAGCCTGTGCGACAAAGCGAGACTTTATCTCAAAAAAAACAAACAAAAAATATCTTAAAGGTATATTTACTACCATTTTAACCTTAATGACGTAACATTTAAAAAAATGTTTTGTACATAAATTGGGCAAGCTGTGAGTAACAGCATTACAGCATGTGAATAACATAATTGGTGAAGCCATTTTACAAATTGGGGGTCAGGGCTGAAGTTCACAGTACCAGCTTCTCCTTGCAGGCACCAACCTTGGGGCCTCTTTCTTAGCATGTCAGACCTGGGGCTATGAAATGCTAGGAAAGGGCTGCACCCCTGGACTGCATCCCAGCCTAGGCCTCAACTTGCGAAGCCCACAGTCCTGCTGCAGAACTCAGCCACCGCCCCTTAGGGCCAAGGATCCGGCCCCGGGTAGGAAGCAGAAGAGAGAAAGTGTTTGCTGCCTCCTGGTGGTCATTAAGAGAATAATCTGGGAGGAGAAGCAGTTTATGAATTGCAGCGTTTTGAACCTCAAAACAAACAAAAACAAATCAGGGCATGCACGTAATTAAAAAATACTCCGTGGGGTTGGAGAGAGGGGTAAAGTTAGCTTGCTGCCTCTGCAGAGGACCAGGATGTGATTTCCAACATCCCGTGACTCAAAACCATCTGTAACAACCCCTTAGGTGATGTAACACACTCTGGCCCCCGTGGGTACCCCCCCCCATGCAGACATTGCAAACATACCTAAAATTATAATAAAACAGTCATTTTTACAGAGGAAAAAAAAATGCCTCACCTACTTTTCCTTGTTCTATTGCTGTGAAGGGACACCATTACCAAGGCAGCTCTTAACGGAAGAAAGCATTTGATTGGGAGCTGGCTTACACTTTCAGGGGGTTAGTCCATGACCATCATGGCAGGAAGCAGACAGGCATGGCACTGGAGCAGTATCGGCAGGCAGAGCGAAGACGCTGGGCCTGGCCTAGGCTTTTGTAGCCTGGAAGCCCATGCCTCCTCCAGCAAGGCCACACCTCCTAACCCTTCCCAAACAGTTCCACTAACTGGGGACCAAGCATTCAGATAAGTGAGGCTATGGGCTATGGGGCCTGTTCTCATTCAACCTACCAACACTCAGCTTCAAGGGAGAAACAGGTCTTACCTCAGCCTCCAGGCCCCTGGAAGTCCACACCAGCTCATGCTTCCTTCCGGGAACACTGAACAGCCACACAGGAAAGAGCAAGCACAGACAATGTGCTGCACCTGGGTTCTAGTCCTTCTTAATCTGGTGTGGAGATGCACGCCTATGATCCCAGAACCTAGGAGGTAGAAGCAGGACAGTCAGATCTGTCTCAGGTACATAGCAAGTCCTAGACCAGCCTGGGCTGCCTGAGACCCAAACAATACACAAATATGTAAAAACATTGTCTTCTGAAAACTTGTCCATGCCTACCCTGGACCATTTTGTTGTTGCTGCCTTGGTTTGGGGTTTTATTTGTTTGCTTGTTTTGTTTCCCAGCCAGGGTTTCTCTGTGTAGCCCTGGCTGTCCTGGAACTCGCTCTGTAGGCCAGGCTGGCCTTGAACTCGCAGAGATCCACCTGCCTCTGCCTCCTGAGTGCTGAAGTAAACTTATGCACCACCCTGCCTAGCCATCCCTGGACCTTTTGTTTTGTTTTGTTTAATTTTATTGTATGTATGTGTGTGTGTTTGTGTGTGTGTGAGAATTGTGTCTGCGTGTGTATGCGTGCACCACGTGTGTGCCTGGTGCTTATGGAGTTCAGAAGAGGGACTGCAGTTACAGACTGCTGTGAGCTGACATGTAGTGCTGGTATTGAACACGGCAAGTGCTGTTCACCACGAAGCCGTGTCTCTGGACCCTCCCCTGGGCTGTGTTGAGCCAGTCTCCACTGGTGGGTGCTCAGTTGTTTCTTTCCTACTTTCTGGGGCACATGGACTGTGCCACCAGAGAAACCAGCATGGAGCCAGAGTAAGGTCAAGGTGTGTCTGAACCCCAAAATCTCAGTCTTGAGACAGGCAGAAGTAAGGCTCCCTCCCTCCCTGTTCTGTGCCTGCATGCATCCACAGCACCTCAGCCCTGGCCAATGATAGACCCCCCCGCCCTGAAAACCCCTTCCCACTCCCAAAGGTTTATATAGTCCTTGTGCACCCCCAATCACACGTTCAAGCTGTTTGTCTGAATACTGCCGAAGAGCCAAGGCTGCTCTGTCACTGGGAGAGCTCTGAGCTAAAAGGGATAGGACACCAAAGGGGCTGTTTCAGAGAAGGCTTTCTCCCTCCACCGCTGGACCAGGATTCTCAAACCTGACCACCCAGCTAAGCTTTGTTCCTTCCGGTTCAGTGCCTGCGTGCTCTGAAGGGAAAACTGACACTTTCTTTCATTACAGTGTGTGTGTGTGTGTGTGTGTGTGTGTGTGTGTGTGTGTGTACTTGTGCCACACCATGACTGTAGAGGCCAGAGGACTACTCTGGGGAGTCAGTCCCTGGACATCAAACTCAGGCCCTCAGGCTCAACAGCGAGTGCCTTTTCCTGCTGAGCCATCTCACCATCTCACTTAAGTCCTTTCCAGACTTCCAGCCTTTGTAAGCAAAGCTGCACAGTGATCCTTGAACCCAGCACTTTGGATATCAATTTCTGGCAGGATCACCCACCTCCATACTGGAGATCAAACCTAGGGCCTCACACTTGCTAGGCAAGGGCCCTGTCATAAGTTATGCCCTGAGCCCTTTTTGTATGTTTTTTTAGTTAGAGACAAGACCTAACCACGTCACCTGGCTGGCGTTGAACCCACTCTAGTTCAGGGAGGACTTCCTGAGGAGCTGGAATGGCGGGCCTGTGCTATCAGACCTGGCTACTTGTAACATTTTCTGAAGTGGGCTTTACCGTCTCCATTCTGCAGATGAACAAACTGACACTCAGAGATGTCGGCTCCCTTTCCCAGGCAGATCCAAGCATGGCTCGTGCTTAGGGCACCAGCACGTCCTCTGTGTCAGTTATAATAAGGGCCGTGACAGACATGGGAGGACCCTGGCAGATCAAAATGGGCTGGATTTCTGGGCTTGGCCGATCCAAAGAGTGCACAATGCTCAACCCTTCCCCAAGGCTGTATGCTGTACCTGGGCCTAAGAGGTCTATGGATTCAGATGTGAGAGACAGAGGAAAAACTCACAGCTGTTCATTGGATTTGGACCAGTTGTTTGCTTTCGTTACAGGGGCAGGGACTAGGAGTGCTATGGCAAGCAAACAGATCCGACTCCAGCTCTGCAGTGACCAGCAGCTTACAGTGCTCCACAGGACAGAGGGAAGGAATGTAGCGGTTCTGGAGCGGCCGTTTAGAGCTTATTTAATTATCATTATGGGGGCTGTGTTGGAGTGCCACATGTGGAGGTCAGAGGACAACTTGAAGGAGTTGGTTCTCTCCTTCCACCGTGTGGGACCAGGTCATGAAAATCAGGTGCTCAGCTTTGGCAGCCTGTGCCCTCATGGCTGAGGCAACCAACCCAAAATTTTTTTATTAACTGTCCACGAAGGTTGCTTGAACTTTCTCTTATGGGAAATGCAAAGAAATCTTTGCTAGATGACAAGAACACAGCACAAAAAATGCACTCACAAAAACATTAGCAGCATGGCAGGGAGGTAAAGGAAAAAAAAATCTTGTTCAGATTAAATGATCATAATCAACTGGGCTACATTACCCTGTAACCCCAGAATTTGGGACACTGAAGTAGGAAGACAATGAGTTAGAGAATTAAGCTAGCTACTTAGATCCTATCTCAAAACAAACAAGCCACACCCACAAAAGGAAGAACAACCACAAACCCACACAATGGTAGGTTAACTTGAGTTTTGGCTTGGGTTGTTATTTTGTCTCGTTTTCTGGTTTGAGACAAAGTTTCACTCTGTAGATCAAGCTGTCCTGGAAATCAGCATGTAGCTCAGGCTACCCTCAAACCAACAGTAAGCCTCCTGTCTCAGCCTCCGAAGTACTGGGACCACCATAAGCACCACCATGCCCAGCTCCAAAGTGCCTACGTATAGGAACTTATTTCTCTTTCTAAATAAGTATGTAAGTTTACACTCAAAATCTTTCTGATGTTTAAATTTTTTAAAGACTTGATGATGATGATGATGATTAGTTTTTTTTTTTGAGACAAGGTTTCTCTGTGTAGCCTTGGCTTTCCTGGAATTCACTCTGGAGAGCAGGCTGGCCTCCAACTCAGGGATCTGCCTGCCTCTGCATTCCAATGGCTGGGATGAAAGGTGCACACCGCCACCCTTTATGTGTGTGCTGCCTATGGTGTGCAGGTACTGGGTGAGTGTGATGGAGATGTCGGATGCTCTGAGCCATAGCTACAGGTGATAGCGGGCTACCTGACATAGGTGCTGAGAGCCAGACTCAGGTCCTCTGGAAGGGCAATAGATGCTCTTAACTAATGAGCTGACTCTCCAGCCATTTTCTTTCTTTCTTTCGAGACACACAACTCACCATGTGGCCCTGACTGGCCTGGGACTCACAGAGATCCACCTGCCTCTGAGTGCCGAGCCTAGAGGCAGGTACCATTGTTGGGATTGGGGAGAGAAAAGGGGAGGCACTCCCAGTTGAGCCCCAGCTGACCTGCGGCTCTCTATGTAGATCACGGCGGGACTCAATTTTGTTTTTTTTAAGATGTCCATAAACTGTTTATAAAAAAAAAAAAGTAGGCTTCACCTCATCCTATTTTTCTCACCCTGGAAATGTTTTTTAAAAGATCCAAAAGCAGCCAGGCCGTGGTGGCACACGCCTTAAATCTCAGTGTTTGGGAGGCAGAGGCAGAGGCGGGAGGATCTCTGAGTTCGAGGCCAGCCTGGTTTACAGAGTGAGTTCCAGGCCAGCCAGGGCTACACAGAGAAAACCTGCCTCATGGTGAGGTGGGGTGGGGGTAGAAAATAACCAAAGGCTCTGGATGCTCAGATAAGGCCAAAGACTTCTGTCAACTCTTAAGATTTTCTACATCTGTGGCAAATGTTCCATCCCCCCTGCTCCCAGCAGCTGCGACTGTGACAGAGTGGCAAGGAAGTCCTTCCTTGGAGCTTTTCCAAGTCTTTCTTGCGGTCCTTGGAGTCCTTGTCCTGCAAGGTGGCAGGGAGACAAAGTGCTAGTGTGCAGAGCTGGCAGAGGGAGGGAGGTGAAGACAGGTGCTCTGCAGTTGGGACTGTGCTTCGGGAAGGGATGAGCAGGGGGTAGGGCAAGCCCTGCGCCTGCCAGTGTCTGCAGCTTTCTTCTGTTGCGATAACTAAATGCCAGGCTGGGGATGTAGCTCAGGGGACAGAGGACTCATCTTGCACAAAACCCGAGGTTTCGTGGCCAGTACTGCATAAAGCCCGGTGTGGAGCCAGCAGGATGGCTCAGTGAATAAAGGCACCTGCTGCCAACCAAGTCTGGAACCCAAGGAAAGGATCTACTCCTGACTCCTGTTTTTCTGTCCTCCACACATGTGCCATGGTTTATACACATACGTGTAAAATAAGCACGTAATAATTATTAAATAATTTTTGTTTGACTACTCTCCTGGATGTCCTGGAACTTGCTATGTAGACCAGGCCTCTAACTCAAAGAGATCCACCTACCTCTGCCTCTCCTAAGTGTTGGGATTAAAGGCATATGCCACCATGCACAGCGAAAAAGATTTTAATTATGTGTATGTGTGCATCTGTGTGTGTGTGTGTGTGGTGTGTGTACATGGCTGCACCAGAGGTACAGAGGTGTTAGATCCTCCTGTTAACAGGAGCTTGTGAGCTAATCAATGTGAGTGCCTGGAACTGGACTTGGGTCCCCTTCCAAAGCAGTGCTTGCTCTTAACTATTGAGCCATCTCTTCACATCCAAAATAAATAAAGAAAAATTCAGATTCAAAAAGGGAGGGCTGGTTCAGTGGTTAGGAGCCTTGGCTCTTCTTCTAGAAGACTTGAGTTCAAGATCCAGCTCCCACATGGTGGCTCACAACTGTCTGTAGCTCTAGTTCCAGAGAATCCAATGACTTCCATGTCGAAGAAGCTCACTGTGGGCACAACTATTTTTTTAGCGCATAATTACCAAACACAGCTGAGAAGCTTCCTCAGCCTTTCTGGAATTTCTGGCTAGGGGTGAAATAAAACTGATGAGGATAGATCAACAGGGGGAAAGTGTAACAAATTAACTTAATCAGTTTTCTATGTCATGGTGCTTTAGAAGGAAGGCCCAAAGACCCTAGGTGAGCTCTCTATTGTCATGCTCCAGTTTGGTGAAGCAGTGACAGCCATGGGGAATGCAACCAGACAAGGGTGTGACCTGATGGAGGAACGTGATGGAGGGGAGGCCCAGGCCCAGCCTCTTCTTCCTCCAAGGTGTGAAGCAGACCCCTCCTAGATGAAGGTCTCGTACACCGGACACAGAGAGGTGAGAGATCCTCCTGGATGGCTTCTCCCCCAAAAGATTAAGGAGTTTGTGGAGGGCCAGGTTTTCGAGTAGCTTTGGAGAGGGGTGTTAGTGTCCATGATTCACCTTGGGTGTGAAGAATCCTAGTTTCTATGGCCTGCCTGGAGGAGAAAGGGAGAAAGAAAGTGGAGAGGACAGCAGGGGAAGGTGAGTAGGCCTCCTTCGGGTTTCCTTGAGATCCACATGCAATGAAGGGCTAACAGGCCTGAGCACAGCAAACATGGCAGGCCTTGCCCTCTCTGCTTCCCTTTCCCTTGCTAAACCATTAGATTACATTCCCAAAGTCAGTCGACAAGGTCTATTCCTATATTTGGCCACTTCCTTAGACCAACATAACCGAGGTCCGGCAATCAAAATTACACTGATTGGCTACACCGATTATTATGTCTAATCAGGACTTACCAACTCCTCCTAGTACAGACTCCCCCTTCTTCTCCTTACACACTATTCCTGCAGGGGCACCTGCTGCTCTCTTTGCCTGATACAGAGGCAGTCCCTCTGCTTGTCCCCTCTGGGTAAGTAAACTCTCCTTTGGGCTGAGAATTTGGTGTCTGTGTGTGTTCTGTGCTGACTCCAAGACCCCTTTAATGTGGGAAGGCGCCATGCTCTGAGGAGCCATGCTGAGTCCCCGCCCCTTCTGGATGCCAGCAACTGCTTTAGGTCCCAGGACACGATGACTGGTACTATCAACGCGACAGATCTAGGGCCACCTGGGTGATAAGCTGCTGGGCTGCCTCAGTAGGGTTATCCTGACTGAGCTTGTAAGGTGGGAAGATCCGCCCACTGTGCGTGGTGCCATCCCGTTGGGATCCTGTACTGTGTACCTGGAGAAAGGGAGCTGGGTGGCAGCATGCATCCAGCACTGTTTATCAGCTGAAGGTGTGATGGGCCCAGCTGCCTCGATCGCTCCACCAAGACGGCCTACGCCCTTCACCTGTGGGCCAGCACAAAGCCTGCCTCCTTTAAGTTGCTTTTGTCGGAGGAGTTTAATAACACAGGAAAAGAACACTCAGACAGGGATTCTGATGCAGGGATGAAGCTTCCCAGGGAGTTTAAAAGTTCTGGACTGGGAGAGACACAAACCATAAGTATGCAGAGAAATAACACAGTGGGCGGAGCTGGAGGGCAGAGCTCAGTGAAGTGTCTGCCTAACGTGGATGTATGCAATTTTAGGGCTCAACCCCCCCTTCCCCAGCACCACATAAACCAGCCTGGGCTATAAAGACCCGAAACGGAGGCAAGAGGTGGCTGGGGATGTTGCTCAGTTGGTAGAGTGTTGTTAGCTTGCAAAAGCCCCATTCCCGTACAGGTGTGCTGGTGCACTCCAAAGGTGGAGAAAGGAGGATGAGAGTTCAAGGTTAGTGCATCCTGAGTTCAAGGCCTGCCTAGAATACATGAGACCTTGCCTCCATTGGTTCCCGCCCCCCCCCCCCCCGAAAAAAAAAATTGCCTGTTAGTGCCAATCGGACTCTATTATCAATTTGGCAAATGTAGTTTTTGTTCTGGTTTGTTTTGATTTTTTCAAGACAGGGTTTCTCTGTGTAGCCCTGGCTGTCCTGGAACTCACTCTGTAGACCAGGCTGGTCTCAAACTCAAGAGATCCACCTGCCTCTGTCTCCTGAGTGCTGGGATTAAAAGTGTGCGCCACCACTGCCCAGCCTGCAGTTGGGTTTTATTTCATTAACAATTTTAATAATAAAGAAAACAAAGAAGGCCAAGCCCATCTCATTGTGGCTTTGTTGAGGGGCTATCACAGACCTAACCCACTCCTGTATCTTAAAGGTTGCAGGAGAGAATTAAAAGTCTAAGGGAGGGTTGGATTCACGAGAAAGAAACGACTGAAATGAGGTCACTGTGGTTCTGCAAGGTGAATCCAGATCCTCTCCAAGGCCACAGAACTGGATTCTCCGGTTCTTTGGTCTCAGATGCTCTTTAACTCTTCCTGTTCGGGCACAGGCTCGGTGGAGAGGAGACCACGGCCATTTCCCCGAATGGCCGCCCGGGGCGACAGAGAGCAACTGACCCGGCATCCCTGAAAACTGCTCAAGGCGACAAGAGAGGATGGAAAAACCAGGTGAAAGAACTGAGTATCTCCCATTGTTAACACCTGAACCACCCCCAAAACAAGAGACTGGCTTCACCACCATCCCAGTTTGGGGAGAGACCCTCTCTCTTATTTTGCTACCACCCTTTGGGGTTCCCCATTACCTCGTGAGTGTTATGTGCTTTGAGATCGGACATCCCACATTAGCCTAGAACTGATGATCTCTGATCTCTGTCAGTGCTGGCGTCACTGACGTGCGAGAACACGCCCAGCTCCTCATCACCTTGTGAAATATATTCCTGACCTTGTGTTTCTCTCCAGTGCTGGTCACAGAATAACCCAAATGCTGTAAGCTCTTCCCGGGTTTGTAAGCGGAATGCAGAGGAAGTAGCCGGTGCAAGCACTGACCCTTGGGTGACCTCAGGCAAACTCATTACCTGGCTCCCAGGTGTGAGTACTGGATTCATGGGGGGGTAGGGGGGAGGCGGAAGAAGGCGGATCTCAGGAGTTCCAAGCCGGCCTGGTCTACAGAGAATTCCAAATGGCCAGGGCTACACAGTGAGACCCTGTCTCAAAGGAAAAAAAAAATGCTTAGAACCATGCCTGGGACATTTAAACGCTAAACTTCGTCATGTTCTCGGCAGCCACTATGCCCAGTTGCCCTTTTAAGGGACAATGCCACTTGCCCACTTAAGCGGAAGTACCCCTGAGGGCTCCGGAAGTGACTTCAGAGCCCCTTAGAAACATGGCCACAGAGCGTTGTTCCGGAAGCGGTCACCGGTATCTGCGTGACGCGGACTGAGTTAGAGCGTCCTGTGGTGTTTCTATGGTGCCGCCCGCAACCCCCAGACTCTCGGCTTCCTTTCCCGCCTGAGCGCCCGTCGCTGCGAGGACGCTGACGGGCCCCACTCGCGACTCCGTCAACCACCAGGAGGAGGGGTTGGCAAAGAGGTGACGCTCTGGGCGGTCCCGCCCGCGTCTCGATGGTGCCCAGCGCCCCAGCGCAGCGGTCCGACTCGCCTGGGCGGACGCGGCCCCTTTAACCGCCTGAGGGCGGGGCTGAAGAGTTCCCGCGAGAGCGGTGGGAGGCGGGGGGCGGTGCCGAGGCGGGGGCCGTGGCGGATGGAGCCCGCGATGGAGCCGGAGACTCTGGAGGCGCGAATCAGTGAGTGTCCGGGAGGGGCGCGGGCCGGACCGGAACCGGAACCGGGGGCGCGAGACTGGCCCCTTTCCCGGCGGGGGCGGGGTCCGCGCGCGCCCCCTCCTCACGCCCCGCCCCCGACCCGGAGGGGCGGCGCCCCAGTCCAGCGACTGGGACCCTGGCAGCTGCGCAGCTTGGCCATGAGCGGGCGCCGCCCACCCACCCCATGACCCATTTGCCCAGGGTACCCCGAACCCCCGAAAGCCCTGCCTGTTGCAGCCAAGAGCAGCCCCTCCATTCTTCCCTTTGAGGGACCCCACTTCCTCAGGGCCTGAGTCTTTCCACCCTGTGCCCGCAGCTCTTTCTCAGATCTGTTTATTCCCCTGGCCCAGGGGTCCTGGCCCATCTGTCCAGCTCTGGCCACACTGGGAGAGGAAGGGTCCCGTCTAAGACTCCATACGGAAATCTAAGTTCTCTGTCATATACCCAGCCCATTGTTATCTGCGTCCCAGATTGCTTTCCTAGCCCCTGCTGAGCTTCCTCCCGAGGCCTCTGCCCTTGTTTCCTGTCTCCTCAGAAACAGCTTCCTACTACTCTGGCTTCCAAGCCCCCAGCCCCTCCCTCTTCTCTCCTTGTCCCACACTGCTGAAGAACCTTGGCCTTGCCAACCCCATTCCTGAACTCTGACCCTTGGAGCTGCAAGTTTGCCTCTTCTGTTCCATCTAGTGGCAGATCTTTCCCAAGGCCTTTGTGAAAGGGACCCAGGGAAACCTCTGGGTCTATCCTCAGTTTAACCTCTTGACCTAGGGTACACCGAAAACCTGTGCAGGGGGATGGCCAGAACCTTTGAAGCCAGCCTTGAACAGAGTTGAACTGGGAGGTTGATTCTAAACCATGCCATCTGGGAAAATGTCGGGAGAGTCAGCCTGGCAGTCGGGGAGGGACAGTGGTGGAAGGAGACGCTCAGTGGCCATGGGCTGCTTGAGATGCCGCCACTGCACAGGTCTCAAAAGGTCAGAGGTACCTTCTAGGAAGGAGCATATACATTTTCACCATCTGAAAAGTCACACCCAGTTATGAAACCTCTCTCCTCAAGTACACTTCTCTGCTACCTGCCAGGAGAGACAGAGCCCCCCCCCCACTCCCCTACCCTTACCAGGTGGAGGCTGGGGGAAGGAGGGCCCCTGTCTCCTCCAGCTCTAAGCTCTTCAGTTTCCTGAAAGCTGGGGAGAAGCTGACCCTGGGTGCTCAGACCTTCCCCTTCCCTGGCTCCAGAATCCAGATTGACTGGCTGGGGCTGGGGCTCACATGCCTTTCACACTTCCTGTTTTCGCCCTTTTCTCAGCTGTCATCGAGAGGCCAGTACCCTATACATTCTCTCTGGCTGCAGACCAGAGTCTCTTTCCAGTGTTCAGTCCTTGGCAGACAGTAAATGCAGCCTTCCCCAAGGAAGCAGAAGATGTTCCTGGTGTCCTTTGGGGCTCATTGGTAACATCTGTACCTCTCAAGGACTTGAGGGTCCCCTCAGGGTTCCTGGGATAGATTGTACCAAGAGGGAATGTTTCTTCAGCCCTTTGGCCAGCCATATTGTCTCTGAGCACCTGGGAGAGAACAGCCTGCCCCCAGCACCCTCCATTCTTCCTGCTCTGCCTGTCTGCGATCACAAATCTGAGTGGTCAGTGATCCTTTGTTTGGGCCAGTCAGCTTCAGGAGAGCAGGGCTTTTGTCTACCACTGTATTTTTTTTTTTAAATAAATATGGCTCAAGTGACTGTCTGCCAGGCCAGTCTAGGGCCCCAGGAATGGGTTCCCAGCTGGGCAGGTGCCACATGCTGGGCCATAGCTTCTTCCTGTTCATAGATCTCTCACAGCCCCACCTCTGGGCTGTGATTCTCTGCACCCCCAGTATGGGCAGAAGTGTCTGGGTATCAAGAGGACACTTCAGCCTCACCATGCACAAAGCATCTGTCATCAGCCTGTGTTTTGTCCAGGGGAAGTTTAATTACTAGGCCTTTCTTAGCCAGTGCTGGGGGCTCAAGAAGGGGATTGTCTAGTGTTCTTGACCATGCTCCTCTTGGCTGTTACTCATTCCTGCGTTCCAGCTTCCCCAGCCTCACCCTACCTGCCACTGAGCCCTCACCCATCCATGAGAAGAGAGATAGGTGTATTCACAGTGGCAGGAGTCACAGCAGCATCATATAATAAATGGTCCACATGGGCCCATAGGAAAGAATAGTCAGGGACACAGCCATTGCCACTGTGGGCAGAAGTGAAGGACTGGAGGGGACTGGCAGAAGAAGTGTTCCAGGGCCACTCCTCAGGGACAGGGTCTGACAGAAGTAGGCATGAGGTCCAGGGTACAGTTTTTTCAGGACCATGTCCTTAACTGGGCAGAGTAGCCCTCAGACTGGTTAACTCCTTACAGACTTACCAGGCAGACCCATGTCTCCTGCTCTGGGTTCCTGTGGTTTCTTGGCCCCTCAGCTTTTCTTGAGAGCCTGGCTACTCTTGGCCCACTGCCCGGGGCTACAGCTCCTCAGGGATTAGACCCTGGCCTTTTCCTTACCCCCAAGTCTCCTGAGTACAGATTCCAGAAGAATAGGGACGCTGTTCTTGAGAACAAACTCAGAGATGGTAAAGTCAGCGTGGTGAGGCATCATCGTGGGAGGTGGTCCCTGGGTGTAGTCTCTGGAGATGGAGCCCTTGGGTGGGAAGGCCAGGTAAGCAGCAGCCATGTGTTCTTTTGCCCATTGATGCCACTGGAATGTCGGTACTCAGGCTTGGGGCTGTGCAGCAAGAAGTGGAGGGAAGCCTCTCCCATGTGCTTCATCCCTCCCGACCTCACCAGTTGCAGGGTACGGTTAGGGGAGGCAGAAACCCCGCAATCCCATTCTGACTCCCTCCGCTCTTGCAGACAGAGCCACAAACCCCCTGAACAAGGAGCTGAACTGGGCCAGCATCAACGGTTTCTGCGAGCAGCTCAGCGAAGACTTTGAGGGGTAAGTGGCTCCATTTGGCGACACGCTCAGCAACGTACACTGTGCCCCTGTCATGCGTAGTCCAGAACCTGGTCTCGGGCAGGCTGGAGCCCCAGTTTCCATTCTAAATAGTCAGTTAACAAAGACGATGGCACTTTCTGCTGGGGGCTACGTGAGTTGAGGGGAGCCTCCCTGGACGTGTTTTGTAAATGAAACCGAGGCTCAGCAGTTTGCTCTTGAATCTCACTGGGACACTGGCAGTCCTAAGCGTGGTCAAATCTAAGCCTACCGTGTAGCTGATAGATTACTGGGGGCCTTCCAGAGGTCAGCTACACCTTCCCCAGCAGGCCTCTCATGTAAGAAAGCACCGGAACTACCTGGAACGCCTGTCCAAAGTGAGTCCCTGAGGACTTGGGTTGGATGTTCCCGGGTCCCTTGATGCTTCTGGATCACAGGAAGCGCCTCACATCGTGCTTCACCTCCATCCTCCTTTAGGGGGCAGGTGCTTCACTCTAGCAGCCCTTGGTGTGGGGTTCATGGGCTTTGGGGTGAAGGACTCTCACCTCGGGTTTGATTAGTCTTGGGCAAATCATTGATCACTCTGAGCCTCACCCTCTCTGCTGTAACATGGCACTGGCAGTGGGCTTATGGGGTTTTCCTGCCACTGAGGAGAGCAAGGAGCCGAGGTGCTTGTGAGCCACCTTGCATGGCCTCAGCACTCAGGCCGTGGCCACCCGTTCCTAGCATCCCCCTACAAAATCAAGGACACAGCTGCTTTTGCTTTTGGTGGTAGGGCCTCAGCCCCCCCATGCTAGGCAAATGCTTTCTCAATAACCAACATCTGCAGGCCTGTGTCGTGTTCTTAAAGTCAAAAGGAGCTGGGTTTACACCTCTTGAAGGTCCCTTCCTACACTGGCTGCCTAGTCCTGGCTGTCGCCATCCCAGGTCCTGTTTGACCTGGAGAGAGATGGGCCTTGGTATGTGCTTCACAGGCCCAGTAGAGGGCTAAAGTGCTGCAGGCTAATACAGCACTGGTCCTGACTGGTCCTTTGAGTGAATTAGGTACCATGGCAGTCATGACTCTTCCTCCTACCCAGGCCTCCTCTTGCCACCCGCTTGCTGGCCCACAAGATCCAGTCTCCACAGGAGTGGGAGGCCATCCAGGCCTTGACGGTAAGAAAAGATCCTGGGGTCCTATGAGCCTAAGGATATAGGTCTGATCCCCCCAAAGTTCTCAACAGCGACAGTGGGCTAGCCCCGTCACAGCTGGGCCTCTGATGGCAGTGGCAGGCACTGTCCACTTCAGCTGCACAGTGGAAACCTCCCCAGGATCCATGTGAAACACAGTGGGTCAGCAGGCATATTTTGGAGTCTGTGTTTGTAAAGCTCCCAGGTCCTCTGCAGGGGCCCTCCAGGCCTCACGGGATCTGCAGACCCTGCAGTGAGAGGGAGGTGCAGGATTGAGGTTATGGCTATACCAGGAGCAAAAGAGGTGGGGTGCTGTCTGTGATTCCCTGCACGGCCCTTCGAGTATCAGCCACCTTAGAATTAGAACAGGGCTTTCTGAGTCCGAGGCTAGGTGAAAATTGCCTGAAGTAACTGCGTGTTTCAACATGTTAGTTTTGTTTGGGGCTTCTTCCTTAATTATGCAGAGATCTTGTGATTTCATGGGTTTGGGGAAAGCCTTAGTATCAAACTGGTTTTTAAAGGGAGATAAGTAAACGAAGTGGTGGTGGCGCACACCCTTAATCCCAGCACTCGGGAGGTAGAATCACGTGGCTCTCTGTGAGTTTGAGGCTACCCAGAGAAATGTTGCCTCAAAAAAAACAAAAACAAAGGCAGGGCATGGGGGTGCACACCTGTAATTCTAGCACTGGTCTACAAAGCAAGTCTAGGACAGCCAAGGCTGTCTCAAAACCAAAAAAAAAAAAAAAAAGAAGGAAAAGATGAAAAAAGAAAATTGTAAAAAGTCCACGTGCAAGAAATGAAAAGTCTATGTTCCAGCCACAGAGAAGCCTGGCCATACTGCAGCATGAGCCCTTGGGCCAGTGCTCTAGGGGGTGATGAGCAATCTCAGAGACCTTTGAACCTCTGCATCTTGTGCCCTCAAGGGTCATTCCCTTCCTCTGGACCCTGGCAAGGTCCGACCTCCCTCACTGCTTCCCTTCCCAGGTTCTGGAAACATGCATGAAGAGCTGCGGCAAGAGGTTCCATGATGAGGTGGGCAAGTTCCGCTTCCTGAATGAGCTCATCAAGGTTGTATCTCCCAAGGTGCGTCCTCGCCCAGGCTCAGAGTGATGGAGGCTGCAGAAAGAGGATCCCTAGGGACCTCCAATTAGGAATCCAGCACAGCTCCTTCTCCAGGACCTGGCTGAGTCCTGGAGGAACCACTCAGTCCTGGTTGAGGAACCACTCAGTATGCAGGAGAGCTGATCCCAGAGCACACACATGCTGTCCCTGGGCGTGCCCAGCTTAGGATGCTTAGGTATCCAACCTTTCTCTCTGTCCCTGTCACTTAGATGTGGTTTCTTTGAGCCTCAGGCTCCAAAACCACAAACCTGAGTCAGTATGTTAGCAAATGGACCACACCCTGGCTGCCGGCCTCTGGCCTGAGTTCTCCCACAGGTCGGGTACATATTCGATGCCCAGGCCCCTCACCCTTCCTCGGAACAGAACTCTGAGTGGGGCATGAAGCCCCCTGTCTCCCAGGAGAGAACTGTACAGTGAATGTCACATCTCTTGGCCTAGTTTACTGCTGGAGGTGATGTGTGGGGCTGCACGTGAGTCCTTCCCTCCTCCACCTGGAGCCCCAGGCTCCCTGATAGGGTCTCAGGTTCAGTTCTGCATGCTCTGAGCAGGTGTTCGTGCTCTGGGCCTCCACCAGCTCCACATGAGGAATGAGGAAACTGAGTCACAGACAGCTGACACAGCCAGTAGGTGGTCAGTGGCTAAGAACAGTGGTGGCAAATGCCTTTAATCCCAGCACATGGGAGGCAGAGGCAGGGAATGGATCTCATGTGTTCGAGGCCAGCCTGTTTTACATAGTGAGTTCTAGGACAGCCGAGACTACACAGAGAAACCCTATCTTGAAAAACAAAAACAGAACAAAACAAAAAACCTCAGTTTATACCAGGCAAGTTCCAGGGAGTATGAGGACTTCAGGGGCATCAGGGAGACTGCAAGGTGTAGGCTTGAGTGAGTGGGGCTGAGCAGTCTCAGAGAATTCCTCTCCTGTGTGTCTCTGAAGTACTTGGGCTCCCGTACGTCAGAGAAGGTGAAGAATAAGATCTTGGAACTGCTGTACAGCTGGACGGTCGGCCTGCCTGAGGAGGTGAAGATTGCAGAAGCCTACCAGATGCTGAAGAAGCAGGGTGAGCCTCTGCCCCAGGGTGGTAGGGACCAATGGCATGCCCCACCTGCAGCTCAGGCTCCAGCAGTCTTAGGGGCTGCTGCCAACAAAGCCACAGCTCTGCCATTAATAGCTCAGAACACACAGGCAATGAGGCCTCTGTGGCTGTGCCTAAGGCCAGCTTGAGTGAAAAAAAGGTGGTATGTGGTCAACCTTATCTTCAGAGAATGGCCTCAAAACATGGTGCCCAGGAACTAGGGATGTAGTTGAGTTGGTAGAATGCTTGCCTAGCTTCCACGAAGCTGTAGGTTTGATCCCCTGCATATTCCCAAGTGTGGTGGTACGCACCTGTAATCCCAGCACCCAGGAAGTGGGGGCAGGAGGATCTGAAGTCGAAGGGCCACCCTTGGCTACATAGTGAGTTCAAAAGGATTACATGGTACCCTTTTTCAAAAAATATGTGTAGGGGTTGGAGAGATCTCAGCAGTCAAGAGCACTTGCTGCTCTTCCAAAGGACGCAAGTTCGGTTTTTTTGTAACCACATAAAGGGAGCTGACAACCACCTCTAACTCCAGCTCTAGGGGGCTTCTCACCTTGAAAGGCTCCTACACTCACATGCAGAACCCCATGGAGACATCAGACACCACATATAACTGAAAATAAATCTTAAGAAAAATATAAAGGAAACCAGGTGTGGTGGCGCACACCTGTGAGCCCAACACTGGTAAGGCAGAGGGAAGCGGATCTCTGTGAATTAGAGGCCAGCCTGATCAAGAAAGCAAGTCTAGGACAGCCAAGGCTACACAGAGAAACCCTGTCTCGGAAAACAAAACCATACAGAGGAACTAGTATTTATTTAAATTATGTTTCTATATGTATTAATATATATTGGGCTCAAACCATCTCTGATGAAGTTCACCGTGTTTGGAAGTAGTCCCACCCATCCACGTCCAAAGCAGGGGAGCTGATGAAAGATTGACCTCTTTGATCTTGCCACTCTATTCTCTTCTCTCTCTCCTGCTTCCCCTGTTGCTGACACCTACTGATAATCTCCCTAACCCTGTCTTCTCCAGGGATTGTGAAGTCTGACCCCAAGCTTCCAGAGGATGCTGTCTTTTCCCTCCCCCCTCCAAGGCCCAAGAATGTGATCTTTGAAGATGAGGAAAAATCTAAGGTAAGGTAGACTAGTTGCTTGCAGGTAGAGACTTCTGGCCTCTGGAGCAGAGGCTCATGCTGACTGTGATCCCTGTGGAGGTGACAGTGTGGGAGCCTACTGAATACAATGACCCACACAAGCATCCACCTTCAGTAAGCCCAGTTCGTGACCCAGGGCTTGGTTAAGGAGCTGCATAGCTTTATCTTTCTATACTAGTTGATAAGCTTCTAGTTACAGAAGCATTTGTATGGAGAGGAGCTATTAAAATGAGCCTTTCCCCAGCCAGCCTCCAAGGCTACTGCTGCAGTTTCTTGTGTGTCCTCACAGAGGCTGGGGGTGTGGATGGGGGCTGTGTGCTGAGGACATCCTTCTGCCATGCTCTGTGGGGAGTGTGTGCAGTGTCTCACTTACCCGCATGGACACCATTTCACGGAGAGCGGTAGTATCCTGCCCAAGTACCGCAAACAGTAACTGAGGAGCCAGGTTTTAGATTCTGGCCTGGGACTGCCCTCAGCCACTTACTTGTCTCTACAGATGCTGGCCCGCCTGCTGAAGAGCTCCCACCCTGAGGACCTCCGGGCTGCCAACAAGCTCATCAAGGAGATGGTGCAGGAGGTGATGGCTGGCCTGGTGTACAGGGGTAGGAGGGATGGGGTGTGGAGCTAGGCCACCGAGCAGGAGCTGTGTGTGTGCACACGATGCCCATAGTGGCCCAGCAGGACAGCTGCCACAGCAAAGAACTGACAGATGCTAGGAGGCTGGTGTTTAGAGGGAAGAATTGCCCCGTAGCCTGAGGGAACCTGCTGTGGCTGAGTTTCTGAGGGGCTGATATTTGTTAGTAATGAAGCCACACCTGAAGCTGAAGCAGGAGAATCGTGAGGTTGAGGCTAGTCTCTGGGCCATAACAGCAAGACCCTGCCTCATAAAAAGAGAAATCTGGGAGCCAGCAAGATGGCTCAGCAGAAGCCAGGCGTGGTGGTGCACACCTTTAATCCCAGCACTCAGGGAGGCAAAGGCAGGCAGATCTTCATGAGTTTGAGGCCAGCCTGGTCTACAAAGCAAGTCCTGGACAGCCAAAGCTACACAGGAAAACCCTGTGTATACTAATCTGCTGCCAGTCTGAGCTGGATCCCTGAGCCCACATGGTGGAAGGAAAGAACCAATTCCCACAAGTTGCCCTCACTTCAAGCGCACACCGTGGGTACTCCCACGCATGATACAGACATTTTGAAGTACTCTGGGAACATATTGGGGCTTGGGACTATAGCTTAGTGTAGAATGCTTTTCTGACATGCATGAGGTCCGGGTGTCCATCCTTAGCATCCCCTGAAAACAAATTGAACCTTAAAATATTTTTAGCCAGGTGGTGCTGGTGTGCACCTTTAATCCTTGTACTCTGGAGGCAGAGTCAGGCAGATCTCTGAGTTTAAAGCCAGCCTAGCCTACAGAGTTCCAGGACAGCCAGCGCTACACAGAAAAACCTTGTCTCAAAAAACAAAAACAAAAACATTGTGAAGAAAAAAATGTTTTAAATACATATTTAAGTATGTGTATATGCATATAGATATACACACACACTCGGCAAAATACTGATGTTAATATATGTTTAATGTGTAAGTTATTATATGTTGGAAGTGTACACTGAAACTTAATAAGGCCAATCATCAGAAAAGATATTCAAGGCTGGGCATGCTGGCTTACACCTTCAATCCTAGCACTTGGGAGGCAGAGGCAGGTGGATCTCTGTGAGTTCAAGACTGGCCTGGTCTACAAAGTTCCAAGACACTCAGGGCTGTGTAGAGAAAGAGACTCTCAAAAGAAAAATAAAAAAATTTAAAAGGTGTTAAGGATGGGCAAGATGGCTCGAACTTCTAATCCCAGCATGGGGAGGCTAAAACAGGAGGATGGCCTTAACTTGAATTCCTGGCCAGCCTGAGCTACAGAATGAAACTTTGTCACAAGCCAAACCAAAGACTTGAGATTAGCATTTAATAGCACAGACAGAAGAGGCCAGATGTAAAGAGCTCTCTAGGCTAAGGATTGCCAGCAGGGAAATAAAGGGTCAAGGCCACAAGGCAGGTGCCTCTGAGACAGGACATTGCCTATCATGTACCCAAGGTGACTACCCACCTCTAGCCCTGCGAATCTAAGTGATCAGGTGATTTTTTTTTCCCTTGAAAATAATCCAGAAATGTGGACTTTTACATGAAATCTCCCAGCTTACTAATGACAGCAGTTAAGAATTCTTCCTCGTGTTTTAAAAGTAGGCGCCTCACAGAAACTGCTCGTTCATTCTTCCTCAGAGGCAAGATCTAGTGATACAGGTTAGTCAGGCTCAGCTCGAGCCCCAAATTGACTATCCAGGGCTACTCTGCGTCCCCTGCAGCAGGAGAGGATGTGTCACAGGCCTGGATGGCTTCTTTCAGGGACGTCTTAAAGGGCCATGCATGCCATGAACATACATACTTCCTACAGCAGAAGGATACTAGCTAGCAGAATGGGCTGGAAGAGAGTGGGATTTACCTCCTACAGCTGCCTTTAAAGGCCTTGAGCTCCACATACCTGCCAGGCACCTACTGACACAGGAGAAACACGATACCTGTTTCTGGGTTGTGAGTGCTGACCAAGGACTCTTCCCTTTCACTGTTGTGTGTGGGAAAGTTATCTTGAAAGACAGATGGCAGGGAAGGCAAGAATGATGCAGGGCCACAATCATGAGACTAGAAACCCCTGATGTCTAGAGATTGAGGGCCACCCCTGGAGACTGTGAGCCTGCGGAAGTGACACAGTAGCAGTAGACTGCTTCATGGACACAGCTGCCCTGAGTGGCAAGCTCTCACAGAGTCCTCTTCCCAGACTCCTGGGCCATCTCTAGGGCCTGAGACAGCCTCTGGCCATTTGTTGCTCCACAGGACCAGAAGCGGATGGAGAAGATCTCAAAGCGGGTGAATGCCATTGAGGAGGTCAACAACAATGTGAAGCTGCTGACAGAGATGGTGATGAGCCACAGCCAGGGCGCTGCATCCAGCAGCAGTGAGGACCTCATGAAGGTGCGCCCTCTCCAGCCAGCCCTCAGCCGCCCCCTGAGCCCCCCAAGAACCCTTATCTACTCACGCTGTTCCCCCCCAGGAACTCTACCAGCGCTGTGAGCGCATGCGTCCCACACTCTTCCGATTGGCCAGTGACACAGAAGACAATGATGAGGCCTTAGGTGAGCCCCAGGCAACTGTCCAGGTCAGATCTGGCCCTGTCCCTCTACCTCCTCCCACTTCCAGGCCCTGCTAGACACCCGCAGTTGGAAGGAACCACCACGAGGGGTCCCCCTTTCCCCAGCACTGACTTGAGAAGGCTGCAGACCAGAGAGACTGCTCTTCCAGACCCCCGTGAACAAGGTCCTGTGCAGGCATCTCATCTGCCCAGGAGGGAGAACTCTCCCCACTTCAACAAACAAAATGACTAGCTCAGGTCCTAGCACCAGTGTGGCAGATGTCCCATCTCAGCCACTCAGGCCCTCTGTTACTCTCTGCCCCACTCTGCTCACTGGCTGGCTGTCCCCTGGACATTCTGGGTACGTTTCCACCTCCCAGCCTCCACACCAGCTTGGCTGTCTGGACCCCATCAGTGCAGTGGGAGGCCTGGCCCTTCCCCTTCATATACCCTTTGGGGTGGACTGGGAGGCTTCTCTTCCCTCCCCAGAGGCCCCACCACTCCTTCAACCCCACTTCTCCCCTCCTTCCTGTTCTAGCTGAGATCCTGCAGGCTAATGACAATCTCACCCAGGTGATCAACCTGTACAAGCAGCTGGTCCGGGGTGAGGAGGTCAATGGTGACGCCACAGCCAGCTCCATATCTGGTAAGAAGAGAGCAGGGGTGCTCCAGGGCCCTCAGCGTGCACGGTGTCAGGGCCTTCAGCATGACCCTGGCCTTTTCAGACCATGAAGGTCCCGAGAAGGGAGCTGAGGTATTCTGTGCCAAGCCTGAAGCTGTTGGGAAAGGGAGCCCAAGCTTACCATGGACTAGAAGGAAGAATGCTTCAGCCCATGAACCTGGCTGCATATGTGTGGGCTGGGTCATACCCTGGGCCTGACTAGAATATCAGGAGAAAGGAAAGAGCTTTAGACACAAACAAGGCAGACTTCACTCCTGTCAGGGAGGGGAGTCACAGGAAAGGCTAGCAGCAGGGGGGAGGACCACGCAGAGGCAGCCGAGCGCAAGCAGAGCCTTCAGGAATGAGAGAACAGCAGCAGTCTCTTTAGACCGTGACAAGGAGTGACACCTTAGCTGTCTTAGCATCACTCTGCATTCACCCTAATGTCACGTTTCTGACATGATCCTGACCCTAAGCAAAGCTGGGTGCATTCTGAACATAAACGCTGTTTGGTAAAGAAAGGGCTTGGCACAGCATTTCAACAGGGCTGGAGTGTTCACCTGGGACCAGGAGGCCTGTTACAAAGAGTGAGGGTATGAGGATTGCTGTCCCCACCCCTGCTGCTCTGAGTGGCCCCCAGGAGTTCCCCAACTCTCTTTTCTTCTCAGGGAGCACCTCAGCCCTGCTGGACCTCTCAGGCCTGGACCTCCCTCCCTCGGGCACCACATACCCAGTCACGCCCACCCATCCTGGCAACCAGAGCAGTCCAGAGCAGCCCAGTGCCTCGGTGTCCCTGCTTGATGACGAGCTCATGTCTCTAGGTAAGGAGGAAGACAGTGCAGGGGCAGCCTGCGGGCACCAGCCTTCTGCACTCCACTGGGAGGCCATGGACAAACCATGCCTTCCCTGTGGTGGAGAAAGCCATGGCTCAGGGAGACTGAACAAGACCAGCCTGCCAGAGGGCAGGACTGGCCAGCTCTGGCTGCCTCAGAGAGGCGGGGTGATCTCTGGAGTGGAGCTGCCCTGGCGAAGATTGGCAGGTTCCCTAGGTTCTCCAGGGAGGAAGGACAGGATTTAGTAAGCGCCACTTCTGGTGAGCCAAGCACACTGGGAACATTGAAAGTGTAAGCAATGAACACTGTTTTCTTTGGCCTTTTCTCTTTGGCTGATTGGTATTTTTGTTTTCTGTTTTCTTAAGATCTGTTTATTATTTATATAGCATACTGCTTGCACGTGTGCCTGCATGCCAGAAGGCGGCACCGATCTCTTTGGTTAAGAGCCACTATGTGGTTGCTGGGAATTGAACATTGAACTCAGGGCCTTTGGAAGAACAACCAGTGATCATAATATCTGAGCCATCTCTCGAGCCCCTGGTTGGGTTCTTTTGTTTTGTTTTGTTTTGTTTGTTTTGTTTTTTGAAACAGTTTCTGTCTAGTCCTGACTGTTCTGGAACTTGCTGTGTAAACCAGGCTAGCCTTGACCTCAGAGGTCACTTGCTTCTACCTTTCAAGTGCTAGGATTAAAAGTGTGTGCCAGGCTGGGACAGGTTGAGGCCAGCCTGGTCTACAGAGTGAGTTCCAGGACAGCCAAGGCTACACAGAGAAACACTGTCTTGAAGATAGGTAGGTAGGTAGGTAGAGTATGTACCACCATGCCCAGCCTTCCCTGTGGTCTTAAAGGAAGGCCACTGGTGAAAAATGACAGTGTGGTTCTCCTGCCTACTGGGGAGCACTGGCCAAAAACAAGGTCACTTGTCTTTTCTAAGTCACGTACAAGACAGGCTTGGCTGAGGAGAGACAGGATCATGCCGACTTTCCTGCCAGGGTGGTCCTCAGGTCCTCAGCACCACTTAGTTGGCCTTGGTGACCTATGCCAGAGTCTTCAGAGTCTGCCTGACCCACCTCACCGTTGTCCACATGGGGACACTGAGGCTGCACAGGACAGCACCTTGCCCACAGATGCGATCAGAGACCCTCCTCCCCTCCTTACTAGCTCAGCTCCCACTCTTAGCTCTGAGAGACAGAGGCGAAAGTTCCAACTTCTGCCGATAAGTTGGCTTCTGCGGGGCCTTGCCGGGAAGAGAGGAAGCAAGTGTGGGCTGCAAGATGGCTGCTGGGACGATGGTTTCTATTTTCGCTCTGCCACTGGTTCCCTCTGCCAGTGTAGGTCTCACTCCTCCTCAAAGAAAGTGAGGAACTGGGGAGCCTCAGCCCAGCACACTGTCAGCAGTCAGCCCCCTTGCCTCTGCCCACCCGTCCAACCCCTCATCTTGCTCTCTCTACAGGCCTAAGTGACCCCACACCGCCTTCAGGCCCCAGCTCAGATGGTGTGGGGTGGAACAGCTTCCAGGTGAGAGGGCTGAAGCTGGCTCAGCCTATGACAGACGGACCTAGGGAAAGGGAAGCTGGGGCCAGTAGCCTGAGGGGTGACAAGCAGCCAGGTGGGTACTGGGCAAGGCTCCCAGGGGCAGGGCAGCTCCACCCTAGTGAAGAGGCTAACAGTCTGTTCTAACCTCCAGCAGAGGTGCCTGGGCTGCAGCGTAGGGTCCCCAACAGGACCACAGTCCTGTCTTCAGGGTTAAGCTTTTCTTCCCTTAAGGGTGATTTGGGGCCCCTGCAGTGTGGAGACCCAGCGAGGCGCAGTGGCCTGCCTCATGGATAGGTGGTCTTTGTCCTCTCTGCTGTAGCTTTCTCAGATGGCACCTGTGGGGACACAAGTGGTGACCCTGGCACTTTGGAGAGTCTCACCCTGTCTCTTTTGCCCACAGTCATCAGACGGCACTGAACCCTCAGTCCCTCCTCCAGCCCAGGCCCCCAGCATGGACAGCCGACCACCAGCACAGGCCCCCCCACCAACCAGCAGCGGCCTGGATGACCTAGACCTCTTGGGGAAGACCCTCCTGCAGCAGGCGCTGCCCCCGGAGGCCCAGCAAGTGCGGTGGTGAGGGCTGCTACTGTCAGGGCCCTCCCTGTCCCTGCAAGCCAGCAGCCTCTGGGCCCAGCAGGGAATCACCCGTCACTTGTAATTCTGGGAGCCCGGCATGTTGGCTCGTCCACTGTGACGAGAGTGTGCCCAGGGATGGGCCCACACCACAAAGAGTTGATGAGAATGGGCCACTGTGCCCACTAACATAACCCCTTGAGTTCTCAGAACCCTAGAGAAAGATCAGAGGGGCCCAGCATGGGAGGGTGCAGAGACAACAGTAGTGGGAGAAGCTCTCAGTGCAGGTGAGGCTGCCCCAGGCACACAGCTGAGCAGCCCAGCCCTTCCAGGGCCTCTAACAAGGCCACCAGAAAGTCACTTGCTAACGCACTGTCCCCATTAAGGGAGAAGCAGCAGCCAGCTCCCCGCCTCACTCTCCGTGACCTGCAGAGTAAGAGCAGCTGCAGTTCGCCCAGTCCGGGAGCCACCAGCCTCCTCCACACCATGCCCCCAGACCCCCCTGGGCCTCCGCTGCAGCCCACGCCCACTGAGCTCTCCTTAACCAACATCACTGTGCCCCTGGAGTCCATCAAACCCAGTGAGTAGGGAGAGGTGGGGTGGGAATGGCCGGGCCGGGTCAGCTCATGTCCCCCAGCGCTGTCCTTTGCTGACTCTGCAAAGGGCCTCCCCAGTCTGGAGTGATGAAAGACCGCTTTCTAATCTCTGGGTCACACAGGATGGGGCTTCTTAGAATCGAACCCCGACACGTCCTTCCTAGGATGGGCAGGGGCCAGAACTAGAAGAAAGATCCAGGCCTAAATCCCAGATATTTCTCACCCACGAGCAGTTGGTAGCACTGGCTGGTTGACTTTCTCAGAAGCTGTGACCAAGGGCCCCACACTTTCCCTGTTAGCGCTAGAACTGACCCTGAGTCCAAAGACTGCATGACCAGCCTTTGACCAGAGCCCTTGACTCCAGCCTAGGAGGGACTTGACTGTGACTTGGCTCCAGGGTGGGTGTTCTGCCTCCCCCGTCAGAGCCCAGGGGAGGCCACACCTGAGTGAGAGGCAGATAGGTATGATCTGGCTACACCCATTCACCACCCCCCTACCCTTCTCCCAACAGGCAGCATCTTGCCAGTGACTGTCTATGACCAGCATGGCTTCCGTGTCCTGTTCCACTTTGCTCGGGACCCGCTGCCGGGGCGTTCGGACGTGTTGGTGGTGGTGGTCTCCATGCTGAGCACAGCTCCCCAGCCCATCCGAAACATTGTTTTCCAGTCAGCTGTCCCCAAGGTGACAGGGCAGACTGGGCAGGCCTTCTTTCCTCAAGGCAGGGTGACCTGAGACTTGGTGGGCAGCCAGCTGGCTGGGCATGGTCAGGGGACAGGACCTCCCTCACGGGGGAGCTGGGAGTGGTAGGAAGCCAGGAGCGATCCCTGAGACTCCAGCAGGGGAGCTGGTTCCTCATCAGTGGCTGCCTGACCAGCTGTCCACCTCCTGCCCTCAGGTCATGAAGGTGAGGTTGCAGCCACCTTCCGGCACAGAGCTGCCAGCATTTAACCCCATCGTCCACCCCTCAGCCATCACCCAGGTCCTGCTCCTTGCTAACCCCCAGAAGGTGAGGGCCCACCTCTGACAGGGTAGTACCCAAGGGTGGTGGTGACCTCTTTTTTTTTTTCCTGCTCTGACCCCTGTGCTTTTGCCATTTGTGCCCCAGGAGAAGGTTCGCCTCCGCTACAAGCTCATCTTCACCATGGGCGACCAGACCTACAATGAGATGGGAGATGTGGATCAGTTTCCCCCACCAGAAACCTGGGGGAACCTCTAGGACAGGGGGGCTGGAGAGGAGGGGCATCAGGACCTGTACCTGTTCGGCCTGGTGTTTCTCTCCTCCCTGTGGCCCCCAGTGACTCTTCCCTCTCCCTCTGCCTGTTCTCCTGCTGAGCCAAACCCAGCAGGAGGCTGGGCCTGAGTTTGCCATAGCGGCTGAGACCCCCATCACCAGTGGGAGCCTGGAATAGGGAGGGCTGTCTGCCCTGGAAGGACTGTCGGGGTGAGGGAAGACGCATGGCTGTTAGGCCCGGCCCTGACTCCAGCCTGAGGTGGGGTCTTCCCTGCCTGTCTTTTATGCCTTATGGAAAGGCCCAGCCATAATTCGGAGGCCATGCTGGATCTGGGACCAGCCCAGGCCTCCTCCGTGGGAACCCAGTGACTGGGGTGATGCCCATGCCCTAGCTGTTTGCACTCGGTGTGTGGTTTGGCTCTTTTTCTTTTGGAATGGCCCGTGGTTACAGACCTGAAGGAGCGCCAGTCCCTCCAGAGGCCTCCCTATGCTCTCAGGCCTCCTACAGGCCAGGGAACTTGAAAGCAAAGCCAGAGGACATGCCCCCTAGAGGGCCATGGAACTCCCAGAGTTCCATGCTTCACTTATCAGCTTCTGCTGGGGCCTCCTGTGAGCACCTCATATCTGCCCACCCATCTGTGGTCAAAAGTAAGGATCAGTGTGGGTGACAGTAGGAGTATTTATAAAAATAAAATGACCTTTTCCTGGACTAGCAGTTCTTGTCACTCTTGTGAGGCTGAGAGAGCTTGGAAAGATTCAGAAGTTGGGGGCCTGGAGACTGCCCCATAGGCCTGTCCCCATCTCCAACTCACCCTAGACCCTCAGCCCTCAGCAAAAGAGGCCCTACTGGGGGTCGGGGGCTGTGGCTGCTACTGAGTCACTCAAGCATTGCTCTGTGGTGACCAGAGCTGGGAAAGGAGGGGACCACTAGGAGGTCTAGCTGCAGCACAAGCTGAAGGGAAACCCCTGGTCCCTCACTTCCTCCTGCTGTGCTCTGCAGATTGTCTGCTGGGTTTCTCCTAGCCCCAGACTATGCACTGAGAAGCAGGGCCCCCCGGCAGCGGCACAAGTGTCAGGCCTGCCCAGGGGCTGGCTCCCAGCTATTTTCACCTCTCTGGTGTAGCAGAAGGCTGTCCTCAAGCAGGGTGCAGCAGCCCCACACAGAAGAACCTGCCAGTGGGGTGCAGTGAGGAGCTGGCTTAGAGCCGCCACTGCAGTAAGAGAGCCCTGCACAGTTGGGAGGGGGGGGGCAGGCTGCCCACTCTCTCCCATGAGTGGCTGCATTGCTACAGACTCCAGGAAGTCCCACATCTGAGAAAACACTTTCACTTTGTCTCATCTGGCAGTTCCTAATCTGAGGCTGGCTGCTAAAACCCTTCCCTTAGATCCTATAAAGACAGTTCTCTGAGCCCCACAGGCCAGGAGCCCCTGTCAGCCCCATCTTGAACATTCAGAGCGACGGTGCCCCAGGGTGGGCCATCCAGCAAGAGGACAGGAGGCAGCAACCTCAGAGCTTCCTTCCTGCTGCATGACTTCTGCTGCAGCTCCTTTCTGGAAAGAGCCTCCAGTTCCCATCTGGGGCCTCCGAGTATTGTCTCCAGCATAATCTTGTTACATGGCCACTGACTAGACGAGTGAAGGTTGGCATGGGGGCGTGGGACCGTGAATTGGGAGTTCCAAAGTCACTGGCTTGCTCTCCCTTTCTAGGTTCTTTGTTTGAAAAGGCTACAGGGTAGGGACCCAGAGAGCCAGTAGGGACCACCTGAGGGATCTGTAGGCCCAAGAGCCCCTTTAATTTCCTGACCCCGCACACCTCTGGCCTTGTTCTCATCTATCTTCTATATCTCTTGAGCAGTCCTAAGCCAGGTACGTCCTGTCTCAAAACCTGGTAGGAACATGGGAGACTGGAACCCACCTGGGGGACACAGCGATCACTGGTGGGCTACATTTGCCTTAGCATCTTAGCATGAACACCCTGGGAAGTATCTTCTCCGTCTCTTAAAAGATGAACCCCGTCAACCACACCAGAGCAGCGGGACTCCCCAGACCTCAAAGCCACACTTCCACTACTGGGCCACTGGCCAGAGGCAGCAGTTAATTCTGCAGTGGCCACAGTGCAGGCTGCTTATCTGTTAGCCAAGAGTGATGGAGAGGCCTCTTACCACCCTGAGACACCCTCTGTGGCCTCCACCCCCAGGGCAGCCAAGGGGAGCCGCCCGCTGCCTCCCCCTCCCCTTGCCCTTGAGTCCTCAGAACTGCTCTGTGAGCATGAGACTGGACCAGCAGCGGCAGTCTAGAGGAGGAGGCCATCGAGATGGTTAATTGTTGCAGCCACCAGAGCCTGCTCTCCAGCTTTGTCACCTGGCCTACTGTGCTCCCAGCTGGGATCTAGAGCATACATTCCCCCAGGGCTATAGCAGTATCAGGTGGAGTCCTCCCTCGGCCACACCCCAGGGTTCCCGGGAAGGTCTGAATTCCGAGTGGGCAGAAGAGTTACCAAAGCCCCAGGAAACATACCTGTGCCTGGCTGCTGTGGGCAGAAGCCTCCATTTGGAGGCCTTCTATTGTTGCCACAATCCAGCCATGTGGCAGAGTGTCTCAGATGATAGGATGAAGCCAGCAGCCTCCACCCCAGCCTGCCTACTGACCACATCCGCTCAAGTCTCACTAGCAGATGTCACCCAGACTGTCACAAGGATTGCAGGCAAATCTGTGAGGAGGCTGGTCAGCCCCTCAGTGGCCACAGCGAAGGCAAAAGCAAAGGCCGGCCATGAAGGAGTTCCCAGGCAATGCCATGTACACAGCAGCAAGCCAGCAGCAATGGCTCCTGGGTCTATCTTTTGATCTGGCCTCTATTACACAGGCAGCCAGCTGAGTGCGCACATCTGCCAAATGGAGGCAAAGATAATCTGAGCCACAGGACACGCCAGTAAATTCTACTATCCCAAAGCAGCCAGACACATTTCAAGGGCAACCAAGGCAGGCATGGTCAAAGCTCTCCTCACTCCTGACTTTTGGTGACTGAATAATGACTGTAACAGCAGACAGTGCCAGGCACTTTTCTGAGAATTTTACATGCCAATTCCTCTAATCCCATTAAACTCTATTGTGGCCGAGCACGGAGCTGTCTTATCCAAAGTCATTGAGTTAGGGTGCCGGTGAGAGACATTCCACCCAAGTCCCATGGCTGTTCTATGGGGATGCAAGTAATCACAGATCTGACCTCATCCAGGTCAATCATGACACCACAGTGCTGACAGAGGGCTCAGCTATGAGCTAGGTAAGATGGCATCCAGCCAGGTCAACAGGCCCATAGTTTGGGGAAGGGATCAGGGAGGGGCTGACTAGTGACCTCTGAGGTACTTGTGTGCAGTCCTAAAGTCAAAGTCTATGATCCTTTGAGTGGTTCAGGGCAGCATATGCCTGTAATAACTGCTACTGAAGAGGCAAGAACATTGGAGGTTCGAGACCGGCTGGGCAACTTGGCAAGACCTTCTCCCCCCCCCCCCAAAAAAAAGGCTGGCAAAACAGCTCAGGGGATAAAGGTGTCCATGAGGACCCGAGTTTGATTGCTGGTACCAATATGGTGGAAGGAGAGAACTGATTCCCACAAATTGTCCTCTGAACTCCCCATGAGAGCTGCAATATTTACACGCATGCACACACTAAATACAAATTGTGACTAAGGGAACTGGGGAGCTGGCTCAGAGGTTAAGGCTGCTCTTCTAGGGAACCAGATTTGATTCCCAACACCCACATGGTAGCTCACAATCTGTTACTCTGGTTCCAGGGAATCCCACACCCTTCTGGCCTCCACAGGCACTGCACCCTCCTGGTATTCAGGCAAAACATCTGTACACATCAAATTTAAATTTTAAATTTTTGAAGAAAAGTAAAAAGAGAGTTGGGGCTGGGACTCCGTGGCAGAGCACTTGCCAAGCATACACAAAGCCCTGGGTTCAATCCCTAGTACAGGATAGTGGCAAGCACCTGCAATCCCAGACCTTGGAGAGGCAGAGGCAGGCAGAGCTCTGTGAGTTCGAGGGCAGCCTGGTCTACAAAGCGAGTCCAGGACAGCCAAGGCTACACAGAGAAACCCTGTCTTGAAACACCAAGCCATGCTAAAAAGACCAAAAACACATTTCTAGTACAAGACCAAAATTCCCACTAGAGAGAGCCCAACCCAGCAGTGATCCCAGCATTTACCAATCAAAACTTCTGATTACGACATCCTTCGAAGGAACAGCCTATGAGCCAACCTTTGGAGCTTCCAGCCTTTAATGACTCAACACCAAGGTCACCCACCCAAGAAGCACAGCAGCCCTATCTGGTCAGATCCAGAAGGTCTCCAGGTCTGGCTGAACAGAAAGCTAGAGCTGGGGACAGGGGGCTGGGCAACAGCTTGGGCGGTTTGGTAATACGCTCTGGTCATTTCTTTAAAAAACAACAACGAACGTGCTATTTCAGCCCAGGGAGCTGTCTTCCTCCCCAGGCTAGACTCAGGACTAGGCCTAGGAGGCATAGAGTATAAGCAAGGCTTGCCCTCAGGAACTTCCAGGCCAGCCAAGCAACCTGACAGCCCGCAAGCCCTGGACATGAAGGCTGAGGCACCACGGAGATCAGAGACTTCCCTAGAAGCAAGAAGGTGACACTTGGAGGCAAGCTGCCTGCAGGCTTGGGAATCTTTGGCTTCCTAAGGCTCACCCAGTAGAGCGGTACGCACCGCTAAGTCACTGTAAACAGACACACAAGAATGTTCTGGGTAGGACCTGGGTGGTGGGAAAGAAAAGGGTCAGGACCAAAAAGAAGGAAGGCATTGCGTGCCTCACACTTAGGAGGCCAGGTCTACCCTAGTGTTTCCAAGGATGATGGCCCTTCCCTAAAATCTGTCCCCTGTTGTGCAAACACAGGCCAGCAGCCTTCCCGTGGGGAAAAGAGGGGTAAGGAAGGAACCTGGCCTGCCTTCTCATCTCCCCACCCACAGCCCACGGAGGAGCTGGGATTCCAGTGGGGGTGGGGATGGGGATGCGGAATCAGTAGGACTTCTGGATTGAGTAAAGTGGCTGCCTGCTCCCAGTGAGCAACCTAGGTGCTAGGCCTGTGCTGGGTATGTCTGGAGCAAAGGGGATACCTTTGAGAAGCAAGCTGGTTGTCTGTCTACACACAGTAGGCACTCAAGTAGTGTGGCTCCGAACTGAAACTAACGAGCAAAGTATGGTGTGGTGATCGGGGTTTCCTGTAGCGTCTCCTCCTCCCTCCTAAAAGCTGAAGAGTGCCCACTGGAGTCAGCTTACTGAGGCCCACGGGCCCTCTTGCCCCATAGTAACTAGCAGTTATGAGCACCTACTATATGCCCAGCCAAGTGTTCCAAAGAGAAAACTTCTATTGGGTTTGGGGATTCAGAGCAGCACTTGTGGTATCACTGCCTGACAAGGAGGAAGGGCAGGGACCAGGGACATTTACTAGGAGGAATAGAAAGAGCCTTACAACTGAGGACAAGTGGGGACAGGGACAGGAACTCTTAGGCTGAAGAGCAGGCCGGGGTTTCTTGTTTACCCGTGGCATGAGGACTGGTCCTGGACAGTTGTCCCATCAAGCCACTATACACAGTGAATGTAGAACTTTGGGGGACTGATCCAAGGGTCTCTGATGGTTCCAAGTACCCCAAGTTTCCAGCCAATGGTACAGCAGGCATGGGGGATGACCGAG